TTAAAGCTAAAGTTGTTGAAATTTTGTCCATTTTGTCCTTTTTCTGAAAAAGGATATAAAATTGGATAAAACAAAAATTGTGAATAAACTGCTTTGAAACTATAATATGTTCTGTTAATTTATATTTCTCATACAATTTATTGAATTCAGCACATTTCAAGAAGTTTTCAAAATTTGACTTTTGTAGGGGCAAGTATATGCAATATACCGCATATAGTTCTTTACTCCGTTCTAATGTCATTTTTTCAAGCAAAACAGTGTGCACTATATTTTTTGACGTCAAAAGTGGTATTATGACGGTCAATGGAGATATCCATGTTTATTCGTGGTACATACCTAATGTAGTTCATGAGAAAATAAACTGCATTTTATTTTGTAGAGAATCATAGGGGAAATTTATTGGAAATTTAAATATAAGGTTATGTCTACATGTATAGTTTTTGCATTAGAATGTGTATTTTACACTAGCCCATAGCTTTACAGAGAATATTTTTATGTATTATACCCACCCCATTACTTATCTAGGAGGAAGTTGATTATCAACAAAAGCTACCAAAAACTACCCTACCTTTATTTTTCTATAAGGAGGGATTAAAAATAAGCTTACAATAATCTACTTTCTACTTATTTTCAACTGTAGCTATATTTTTTCTAGAGCCTCTTTCAGTATTATTGAAAGGTATAGAGTTTTATTTATATTTGCTTTTCATTTATTTTTTGTTTGTTTTGATTAAACGTTATTTTGTTTTTAGGGGGGGGGGGGGGGGGGGGGATGAAAAATTTCCTCTTTCATTGTCAAATAGGATTTGCCAAACATATACAAGCTAACAGTTGAAATGAAGGAAATAATAATTTTTCTATTAAAGAGTATTGGAACCTGATTGTTGCATGGTCTGATTTCTAAAAACAAGTGGAATATCATTCTTTAAGCAAACACTATGTGGAGGAATATATTTACTTGACAATTAAAGAATCTCTTTTCACTTTAAAGGAGGTCATTTTTCAATTGGGGTCATTTTTTTAATTGGACTAACATATAAAAAAAATGACCCCTAGGACACTTTTTCTACAAAAAATATTTTTTTCTACGGGTAGGGGGTCACTTTTTGTCGTTGAAAAATGACCCCCAGTCAATTCGACGGGGGTCATTATTCGTCTTTACACCATCCAGCACAAATATGGCCTGGTTGAGGGTGGGAGAGAACAGTTCATTGACAAGGGGTCTGGTATGGTCATGGATAACGGTATCCCTGCTAATATGATTGAAACCAAGGTGATTTGGGACAAAGTAGATGCTAACTGCTTGTCTCCTAGTGGATACAGCTCGTCTAATCTAAAACAATATTTTTATTTACATGTAGCGCTGCAATATATTTCCTTTTATCAAGATTGACTTTTTGCATCTTCAATTCACAAATGTTCCAATAAAATAATGAAAGTTATGCAGTGGAACAATTTTTGTCGGTATAATTAATATTTCACTTGTACTGATCTCTATTAGCATACAAAAATAATTATGTAGAATCAGAAGAAAACTATGAGATTTAGATATCATAATTCTGCTTTAATATATTAACTATTGATAATTTTAAATTCCTTCCTATTTGTGGTTTAGTCATGTTGAACAAAACTCCCAGCATGTTGTTATCCATAGCTGTCCTCAATTTGGTCAGAAAAATCGCTAAACAATTTCTAACGCTCCTTGATTTAGATGACCTAACGTCTCCAGTTTGCACATAAGATAACAGATCATCAAATTCTATTTTTCCAAGTCCGGTGAGAGTAAAATACAGTAGTCACTTTCTGCTAAAGATGAAGAGTCATCAAAGTCTAATCTCTGATCCTCTTATCAATAGTTCTTGTCTGAGTTGTCCAACAAGCTCCATAGTTGTAGATCTGCTTACAAAACTTGTGTCCTTTGGTGGTATTGGGCTCTCTATAGTCTTGATGTTTATGATGTCATTCAGTATGTGAGCCGGACAACAACGAGAATCTGCATGTTAAAACAAATTGTTTATACCTCTATGAATTTAATATATCAGTATATACACTGCATACACATTAATACTACCAGTAATATAAATATGTTAATCAAACATATTCATACCTGCAGGTATTAGAATGTTCTGCTTCAGGAAAAAAATTAAACCTTGCTTGTGTGGAAACAACGGATCAGGTTTTCTACACAAAACACAGTATGCATGACTGTTAACTGTGCTTTGTAGCGACAAAGTCACAGATGGTGGACTCTTCAAAGTACATGTACTTCGTCCAGCAGGGCTCTGTATGGGGGTGGTGCAGGTTGGTCCCGATGACTTCTCTTGCGGTGTTCCTTTTAATGTATCGTATTTTTTCTACATTTTCTGCATAATGCAACATCTCTGCACTCAGTCATAAATTTTCTTCTTAAAATCTTTCTTGTGCTTTTATTCACGGGCCGTCTTTCACTAGGCTCTGTCCTTTTCTTGCAAAGTATGCAAGGATAAAATTTTGGTCCACAACTTGGCATTTTTTCTAAAAAAAATCACATGTGCATAATTATTGACCATGTTTACTTTATATAATTTTCAAGTCATCAACCTTTGATCTGAGAGAGGTACACTAAGAAAGAGATTACTAGTATTCATTTTCTTATTTATGGAACAAAACGTTTATTAATTAAAAAAAACAACATGTAACTTTGTGCCCCTTCTGAAGGAAAAATAATCCCACCACGTACAGATCTAAAAGGGGGGGGGGGTTCAAAAGGGGACTCAAATACAAACCAAAACACAGCCTTATCTGTTTTTAAAAGTCATTATTTTATTCAACTGCAATCTCAAGGCAGGAAGAACAAAATTTTTCACTAAAACATATTATATAGAAAATATGTTCAAATTTTAATATTATCTATTAGGAGGCACATTATGTTTATATGGATAATACACACATTTCTTTTTTACTTTGAAAGAGAGAAAGTGAGAGAAAAAAACATTGGCCACTTCTCAATTAAAATACCCATCCTCATCATCAAAAATGAATCAACAATAATAAACTTTGTATACTTTGAAAACTAATTGCAATGTCTAACTGCATTGTTATTTCTTACTCAGTAATTCTAACTCCTAAAGCATTAAAAACTAGTGCTAATTGTAACGGGAACCGTTACAGATGTTCCCCAAACGCTCCCCAACTCCCTTTTGGTGCCATATTCCCTGTAAGCTTCATTTAATAAGACAAATTCTGGTAATTTAGACTTAAACAAAATTTACCCAGAAGGATACCAATTATATTCAAATTTTAGCATTGCGCCCGTGCGCATGTGAATGCATGTGCGGTATGACCATATCATCTTGTCTACACTATCTATATATTTAAATATACTATATATCAAAGCATTCAGTCCAAAAGTATTAAAAATCACTCATTTAAGTGTATTTTTAATTTCACTCTTTCCAAATGCACGCACGTGCGTGCACGTGCATGATGACCATACCTTCTTGTAGGAGTTCCTTATATTTATCTATGTTCTGAATCCCATCCTGTTTGGTTGAAAAACAAGAGAGTTATAGCCATTTTAAGTTTCAGCCAATCAGATTGCAGCACACGTGCATGCTCGTGATTTCATGAATTGTTTTGTATATCATATTGCAGGATATCCTAATGTAAAACTATGTTTTAAATTTCAAAGCATTTCGTCAAAAAACAAAGGGGGATTTAGCCATTTAAAGTTTCAGCCAATCAGAATGCAGCACACGTGTATGCGCGTGATTTCTTTAATTTTTCTGTATATCATATTGCAGGGTATTCTAAAGTATGGCTATATCTTAAATTTCAAAGCATTTCATCAAAAAACAAAGGAGATATAGCCTTTTAAAGTTTCAGCCAATCAGATTGCAGCACACGTGCATGCGCGTGATTTCTTGAAATTTTTTTGATATCATATTGTAGAATATACTAGTTCATTACTATATTTAAAATTTCAAAGCATTTCGTCAAAAAACAAAAGAGATATTGAGAAATTTGTTTCAGCCAATCAGAGCAAAGCGCACGTGCATGCATGTGAATGGTGACCACACCATCTTGTAGGAGTCCTTTATGTCTATCTATGTTCTAAATCCCATGCTGTTTGGCTGAAAATCAAGGGAGTTATAGTCATTTAAAGTTTCAGCCAATCAGATTGCAGCGCACGTGCATGCGCGTGATTTCATGAAAAATTTTATATATTATTTTGTAAAACATCCTAATACATGTCTATGCTATAAGTTTCAAAGCATTTCATAATAAAACAAAAAAGATATTAAGGATTCTGTTTCAGCCAATCAGAGCAAAGCGCACGTGCATGCGCGTGAGATCTTGCTATTTTGACCATGTCATATTGTTATGCTACTAATATATCCTGATATTATAAGTTTCAAAGCATTTAATCAAAAATTTAAAAAGTTACGCCTATATCAATTAAATCGGTCATTTCACATGTTGCACGTGCACGCTCTTGCAAGCACATGCGCGCAAAATGACCTTCGTTGGGCAAATCTACATAACATGTCTACTGACCCTAAAAACATTTCACCTAAGTCGGATGTATAGTTTACGAGATCATTCCCGGACAAAAAAGTACCCAGGAAGAAGAAAAAAAATAATATTAATAAGAAACAGAGTAAAAACAATATGTTCCCCAACTTCGTTTGGGGAACATAACTAATTTTAGCAAAGAAACTATTAGTGAAAAAATCCATTGAGTTATAGATCTTTATTTCTTTTTTAAATGCGCCTATTATTTAAACGAACAGTGAACTTTTGCAAGGAACTGTGCGTTGTCAATGTAAATAATGAAACATTCTATTTTTAAACGATTGGTGTAGGAGATAAATATGTTAAATATTACATAAGGATGATTCAATTATAATTTAATGCAAAGAGTTCAACTTTAGCAATGTCGGTAAAGACAGTTAGACGTAAATAAACTAATATTTATAGAATAGACATTTTAATGAATTAATGAAGAAATATTATTTCAGATCACTACAAAGCAACCAGATAACCACCATTGCAGACAACGCCTTTAATGGATTGCCAAATTTACAGGCACTGTAAGTTTTTGATCAATTTTTTTCATTTGTCAGATTAAAAGAAAACTTAATTTATTAGCAATTTTGCAAATTTAATGTATCAGGGAATTTGCTTACAACATTTTAAGAAATGATAGCGGATATTCATTGGATTGAGTAAAGGACAATAGATGTTGTCTCTGCAGGTTGGCGCATGTACTGAACATAAACAATCGTAGTAGATAATAAGTTGGTTATTTGACTCTATAGAATGCATGATGAAGTACACTGAATGTTTACTGACAAGGGTGAAAAAATAACTTATACTTAATGTTTCTTTATACATAAAAAAACCACATCATGTACAATGTTTTTGGAGCTTTTTATATTTGAGGAGTGACAGGTGAAGTGATGTAGTAAGTCTTTCATTAACTTGTTCAAACTCAAACAAGGATGAAAGTGTTTTCTATACATTACTGCTCAAATTGTTTTCATGAACATAATGCTTGAATTGAGTACACGTACTTAAGAAACAAGTGTAAACTTATAGGGTTTAGAATAAGTGTTTTTTTTTAACAATTTTAACCTGGAATATATTTGCTGTTCGTTATATCCATACCCGTCATTCATTTAAGAAGGATATGGAGATAAGAAAAACATTCAATATCAAAGTCCATAATACAATACAAAATAGGAGTTGAGCAAACACGACCCCCAAAAATTGAATCGATCTGAAGTCAAGTATTGAAATCAATCTGAAGCCATAAAGAAAGAAAATCTTGGGATGAGGAATATAGCAGATTCCTTACATTATACAGTGCAAGAGTAATTAAAACCATTCAAAAAAATTGGTAAAGAGCAATTCATTTGTCCATTCCATGATTGTTTACTCATACGTATTGTCATACGTATATTCTGTCATACGTATTTTCAAGTTAAAAACAAAGAGGTAGGGGCTCCATGGGGGTAAAATCAGCCCCAGCTTGAAAATAAATTTCATTTATTTGGTTATGTGTTGTGGATATCTATTTTTTAGAAATATCATTAATTTGTCCGATAATATTAATTTAAGAAGATAATTAAAGAATTAGTAAATCACCGTTTTGTTAAACGTTAGAAAGTAGCGTCATTATCTAATACACACACAGTTACTTATCACCTTCCTCTGAGGTCACTGAGATAAACCTACTCACTCATACTTCTAATAATAATAAAACTTATTTGATAGGTTATAACCGCTAAAGAAGAAGGTATGGTTTTAGCTTAATTGTGCCCTAAAAATGTAATGTCATCAAAAAGTTTTGGATTCGGCTTTAATATTAGTTAAGTATATGACTGTGATAAACCAGGAAAGAATATGGCACAAAGCATTACAATTCTGCAAATATGACGTCATTAATGTGATGCATTTCTGTATTTATATTTACATTTGCAAATGTTTTCCCTTATATAAAACTACTGGAAGGAATGCGTATCTATAACTGTATAAATACAGGTACGGGGTTAAAAGGTCATAGATGTGCGTATAGATAATTGTTTGACGTAATTTCTCAGTGACGTCATAAAGGGTCGACGTGCGTTTAGTGGATTGTTTACATGTCGTTGGGTTTAGAAAAATAATGCATTTCACAAGTCAAAAGTCATAATTAGGTAAATATAAAGTCTGAATAAGTCACAAATGTAAATATAAGTAATAAGTTATCATTTTAAAACATCTATCGGGCTATAAATACGGGTTGGTACAAGATTAAAATCATCAAAAAGCCCTTCGGGCTTGATGGAATTTAATTTAACCCGTATTTATATCCCCATAGATGTTTAAAAATGATACCTTATTTCTTAATTAACAGAAAAAGCCTCAAATTAATCCATTCCAAGTGTAATTTTCCTTTAGAAAATAGTTTACACAGCCGTCGCGCACTTTTATTTTTCTGATATGTTGTGGAAAAAAAACATAAATAATCACATACTTCAAAATCTTTGTTGGCGATACCTGTGGACAATGTTTTCTGAAAGAAAATTCCATTGGAAATTGTTGTCTTCTGCTACTTTTGAAGAAAATACGTGAAAATGCATAAGTTTATGACGTCACAATTAGCATTTTAAAACACATGTGAGAAAAATGATTTGTATGATTTTTCTGCATGGAATTTCAATGATTCAGAAAGTATTATTTTTCACCTCTTACACCAGTTTCATTTTTTTAGAAACCACAGGGCAAGATTTATATGAAAACTATTTCTTGTTCTTTCTTTTGTCAAGGTGTAATGATGATAATCTTATGCTGTCATAGCAATGACCTATGTTCATAAATATGTCTCTGACTGCATTAATAACGGAAAGGAAATATCTCAAAAACATGACGATTTCAGCTATTTTCAAAACATAGATGAGTTTTGTTGCAAATAATAGGTCATCAGTAAATAAACTTGAAATATCCTGTTCATAATTTAATTCGAGCACAGATACTTATCCAGTTTTTATTTAGATCGGACTTGTCAAACGGCACGTGACATTCGGTGCGTCTAATTCTCTGACGTCACCTGACTTCGTTTGCACTGTTGCTTTACCAAACCAATACCTGAACAGGGCCGATTTCAATCAGTTTATGACTATTTTTCTGTAATGAACAAAAAAAATTATTTAAACGGCAAGTTTATTTTTTCCTTCAACTGTTGTCGTTATTCTCGCGAGAATGTGGTCTTTGGTTTGTACACGAAGCAATGCATTGTAGGTCAAAAATTCTGCGGCAAAAATTTTTATGGAATGAATGTGCAGTGGTCCGAATTTTCTCTTTGCCCAGGCGTTATCGTTAGAGTTCGCAGTTTCGAGTTTCATTCGTTGCACTCGCTATTAAAACATTTTTTTTCCTAAATGAGAGTAGGGATCTTTTATAATACCGTCAATGAAATATGGCTTTTGAACCTCAATTAGGATTTCTGTGTGTATCAAAAAGTGAGCATGCCATGTAATTATTTCTTTGCAATGGAATTTTAAGGGATATAAGCAATATATATTGTGTTTGTTTGTATGTGGGCGAATCTGTGCAAAAAACGGAAGTGATGTAATTTGCATCGGGATCGATGTCCAATGATGCCTTGATCTATACAATTGCAAGGGGGCGCTCAGCCTTAATTCTTGCGTCCTTGTTATTCTTTTTGATTTACATAAACATGTAATATTATTGTGTGGACTTACTCTATTTTTTTCATTATGATAATCCTGAAAAAAATATATCAAATTGGGAATAAGTGATGTCTTCGCTCCTTGTGTATTTTGTAAATATACACACATTCATGTACGCAAGTATTAAGGATGTATTCTCAATCCGGAAAAAAAAAACGTGCATTAAACTTTTCACATGCTTTTATTTTTCTGAAAGTGTACTACCCAAGGAATAATTTAAAGACAAGAAAAGAGTATGTTAGTGTCCATATAAGAGAGATTCAACCGTTCGAACATAGGCCAAAACAAAGCATGGGAAATTTCATTAAAAACGCTATTAGACTATAAAATACCCCCATAAAATTATAAATACAATCAATTTAAACTTAATTTTGTTTTGATTTACTCAAAAGTATTGAAAAGTTGATTTTTAAAGCAAAATATGAGCAAATAATTACCAATTAAATAAATTGTACCCAAAAATGTTGTTCACAAGTGTCAAAATTAGGCAATTTTTTTTCCTATAAAATTGCTTGAAAAACCATAGAAAAACATAGTTCTACAATTAAACTTTTTGAGAAAATTGTTGTACAGTTTCTTTAGAGATTATGACTCCTTTTCATAGCATGAAAAGTAGGGGTTAGTGCACATATAAGAAAGTTTTGATATTTTTTATATCACCAACCCTATTTCTTTTCAGCATTTAATGAAAATAAATCAAGGCATTTAGGCGTGAAAAGTGTGTTTTTTTATTCACCAAATATTCAAAATTAGTGTGATAATTTCAGATAATAATTACAATCTTGTTAAGAAAAGCTTTTAATGAATAAAAAAATAATCAATTAACATATAAAACTTCATAATATTTTGGTAAATGCCCTCTCTTTCTCTTGCCCTGCGGGTTCCAGATTGGGTCCTGGTTTGTGGTGTAGGATGGTGGCTTCCCTGTGATCAGTCAAATCCAGTCCCACTTTTTCAATATGATTTGATGGTTTTGTCCATCTGATTTTAGTGGTTCTAAAACCCTGCTCTCTTCTAAAGTTCTTCATTTGTGATTCTTGTGACAAGACTTACCTGAAAAAATTATTTTAAAAAAGAAGATTATAATTCCTGGTAACATCATTGTTCAAAAAATGTAAAATCATTATTTTGTCTACCTGACTTTGTTTTTATGAACCTAAGCCTGCAGTTAAGAATCAAATAATTTCTACATGTTCTAGAATGTTTCAGAAATATTCCATTTTCTAACCCGTGTAGGTCGCCATAGAACGAAGCGACCTAGTTTCGTATCGAATGTAAACAGCTAAAAATTATAGATGTTATTTTATTATTTTCGTAAGGTATGTCTGTAAATTTGGGATATATATTCTGCATTTACAATATCAAAGGAAACTTATCATATACTAAGAGCTAAAGTTGCAATAAAAAAGAATGCTGTCGTCTGCACGCATCTGAAGAACCCTTAGGCCTTAAACGTTTCGTACATGTATGTAACATGTTTATGCTATGTTTCAGTTTGAGATGTGACAGTATTCTATGTATTTTGAAACTTTTGTATCTATAATGCATAAACATTGCTATTTTCAATAAGTTTGAAAGCATTGTAAACCTACATTTTCGCTTTTCCACTGCTACTGGAATGTTGTCAAAACACTTCGAGAACGGCGCTCTTGGCTGGCATGTTTTGGAACCACTTTCGAGAAAGTACCTGTTGACCTAATTGTGATATCGATAATTTTTTTAAATGTTTTAAAATTTCTGTCTGTTGGCTCTTTTAACGGAGTGCCATTCGGCATTCCTGTTGCTTTGAAAGGGGCGGTCCCGTCTTCTTCCCCTCCCGATCGGGTTCGTAATGTCGATTTCACTTGTCGACTTTCTTAGGCCTATGTCGTAAATATCGTAATTTTGCACATGTCTTGGTCATTAATACAACATAG